AGACTGCAGTGTATCATTCGTTCCTCTGAGAAGTTAATCGGCTGCAATCTGCCATCCCTCCAGGACCTGTTTGCCTCCAGGACCCTGAGGCGTACTGGTAAGATTGTGACTGACCACTCCCCACCCTGGACACAAACTCTTTGAGACACTTCCCCCTGGCACCTCCTGCCACAAGAAGAGTTTTTTCCCCATCTGCAGCTGGCTTCCTCAACAAGGCCTGGGACCCCCACTGACACTGACTCTTATATGCGTTACATTAATGCACTTCCCTTTTATCCGTTTATTCCGTTTTTATCTTGCACATTGCAATATCATTAAACAGTATGTCACACTGCTAACTTGCACATCCCCTCAGCAATATTTTTCACATTCCTACAAACTGTACAGCTCTTCATTCATTAATTTTTTTAAATAACTGTTATTTTGTACATATAGTCTCTCTTATATCTTTACACTATATTATAGCATATTCACAACTGCCCCTTATTGTTTGTTCTACAAATACAGTACCTACATTTATGCACTTTACTATTTTTTTTTTATTTCTGGTTACTGCATTTGTAAAGGTGTGGAATCCACACCTTTACATTTTTCTGACTGCATCTTGCACGATTGTGACAAAATCTGTCCCCAGGCAGACAGACATACAGCCCAAACACCTTGAAAGGTATTCAAAGCCGCTTCTGTGGTAGGTGCTGGTACAGTAGGTGTTCCCTGGACCATATTTTGCCGTAATGACACACACACACACATACACACACACACACACACAAGATACCAGCCACACGCTGTTGCTACTGGTAACAAGAATATAATCCTTTAAATGCAACCCAACTTGAAAACATGCAGCACCTGTAGGACATTTTGACTTCAGAATCATCTGAACAAAAGTAAAAATAGTTGAGTTTCATGTACTACAAACCAACAGGCTTATTCTTATTTAATATTTGCGGAAAGTAATTTGGCATAATACATAGGCTACATAATTACACTGTAATGGTCAGCGTCATCATCTGATTTAGGCTACACGGCGAGTCTGAGGGGATGGAGGAGGCGACCTGTTCATAAATAATGCACTGTTTCTCATACATGCGAATGATGTAATGGATCAAGTCTGCTGCTGATTTGGCATACATCTCTGACTTGCCGCCCTGCACCATGTGCTCAGTCACCGGTTGCCAAACGATGAAAGGATAATCCTGTTTTTGGAGGAAAAAACAACAAGAGTGAGTATTCAAAAACGGATTATAAAAATGAAAATGTAGCTGATGCAAAGCTAGAAGCTAATTTCCTCCAGCTAGTTAGAATAAAAATGCAGGTGGAGTAGTGCGCTTTGGGAATGAAAGGGAGGAGAGCATCCTTCCCCCGTTGTTCTCGGTACTGGCGTAACGCGTGGGTAAAGTTGCTTACATGGACACACTGGCTGTGTTTCTGGATCGGACCACTGGTGTGTGTGTGTGTGTGAGAAGGGATGAGGTTTGGTGCGACAGCTCAGTAGAAGGTCTCACAAGTATCTCAGTCTGTCAGGCGAACACCACGCGTCCAAGCGAGGTGGAGGAAAAAAAGAGGAGGAGGAGGAGGGGGGGCAGTAGAGGCAGACAATGCGGTTTTACGATGCGTTTATTCCTCCGTTCAATTTAGACCCACATCCACGAAAACATCATGTGCCGAAGATGTGGGAGAAGATTTCTCCGTAAACTGGTTATTGTTGCCTATTTTTCATAATCGCACTGAACAGATTTCTCTACGTTTTGATAGAGAACAATAAAAAAATAAGATGAAATTTCCAATAGAAACCCCAAGGAAACAAGTTAACTGGGACCCGGAACAAGGTTGGTAAATACAGTTTTCTTATTGTCTGTTAAGTATTGATATTTGTCATTTAATATTACTCTTAATCTCAGTAACATCTTAATCCAGACTGAGGCGCAATAAATTACTACACCAGCCTATATTATCCTCCGGCAGTTTTGCACAATTTCTTAATCATTATTTTGTTCATTTCGTATTTTCTCTTATGTGTTTATTTATCCTGCAAAAAGGAACCTTAACACAAGACAAAGCGGCTGGGGGGGGTGGTTATTTCTTTATTCTCCCTTCTCCTTGTGCTCAGCTGTGGAAGGCAGCACTCCTGGAAGCGGAGCCACAGCCGCGCAAAGTTAACGGGAATAACCAGAGGTGAAACCGGAGAGTGTGTAAAAATAAAAGCATGTAAAGTTGTTGCCTTAAAAGCAACGATGCGTAAAGCAGTTGCGGCACAAAATTCTCTGCATGAGGCTATAATTCCCTAACTTAACTACCAGACATGCGTTATTTTTAGAGACATGTCTGGTCACTCACTATTGATTGTAACCATTTTACAGGAAACAGGCTCATCCATTCCCTGTAATGTAATGTTTTTTTTAAATATGGACATTTTGCTTGGTCTTCGAGCTCTATGAAATGATTTCATTTTGTTTTGACACAAATGCAGAGAAAGACTAGGTCTATTCTGCAACTTTCTCAGTAAAGGTTTTATTTTGTTCTATTAGTTTCTGCCGGAAGTCGTGTGTTATTCAGGCTGACTTGATTTGAGGCTCAGCTGGTGAGTTAAACGCCTACAACCTGTCCAGTGCCATAGGGAATAAGTGAGCCAAGAGCCGACCTGAGCAAACCCAAAATTCATGTTTACTATTACTACACTTAGTTTTGCATTTTGTTTACCAGTGGGTAAATAATGCTTTTGTGCAGCTGACATGCAGAAATGTTGATAAACTGTTGCCCCAACTGTGCCCCGCTAAAACAGTTTGATAAATGATTAATGCAAACTTTCCTTCTCAAAATCCTCACCATCACCTATATATTCTCTTATTCTTTTTTGAGGAACATCTCTTTGATGGACCAGATCCTCCAGTGAACATTTCCTCTGCTTCGGCCAGACAAGCTGGAGACAGAGAGTGAGAGCTGAGAGAGCTCAGATAATATCAGATAAAAAGCACTGCTTTCCACTCAGGCCTTATTTAATTTGCAAAAATCAATATGAAGCGAATCAGTTTGAAACCAAAACCAAAGTAGGCTATGTCACAGCTCTGGTTTTACCTCTAATTTTAGATATAGACCTTTTTTATTTTACTCATGATTTTATTACATTTGTTTTTTTTTTTATAACTTAGCTACACTAAAGTCAGTGAGACTTCTGAATTGCCCTACACTGTATAGCTACCTCTGTCCTGCTGCATGGTGCTGATTCATTGAAATTCACTAACTCACCAGATGAGATGAAAAGCAATTAATGTCTTAGTAAGACTAGTTACTGGATGCTCTACTGCATCCATCAAAACGACTGAACCAAAAACAGCTGAGGATATTGATGTAGGGTCATAGTCTTTCTGCTGCTTCACCTATCGCTCTTAATTTTCTAATTCACCTCACGTTCTAAAAATAGCCAAAGCCACCGCCCTTAAAGGCATACACTGTAAATTGAAAGTGGCACTTTTGCACCTTCCTAAGCTTGTGGCACCACTTTGCTGTTATTGATTCACTCATGATACAGGGATTAACTAACAAGATTTATAGCTCCTGGATCAGAGAATGAGGATGTCCTTGACTCATCAGGGTGGGGTGTATGTGTGTGTGTGTGTGTGTTTGAGTGCACATGTTTTACTCAGCGTATCCCATAAGTGATACCATCCCATTAAACAAAAGAGTGTTTCCCTTAAACAAATCAATTTCCTTTTCCTACCTTCCAGAGTTGCATCTTTGTAGACAGCAGACTCCGCCCATGGCTCTGAGGCACACCATCCGATCTCTGAGAGTCGGTGGGCGTCAAGGGGTGAAGGCCAGAGCTCTGAGTAGCTTATGCAATGCATTATAGACATTGAAGGAATCTGGCTGCCTCCAAGGTGCTGCTTGCCACTTGGTTGACCTGCTCCAGCACACATGCATTTATTATAAAAACCCATCCAGAAGCCAATGACCGAAAGTGGTACTTGCGGTCTATTACAAAATTTTTATTCTGCTCCTCAGCAAAAAGGATAACTAATTTTTTCTCCTCCACCTAGCAATACTGTAAGGGTTTAGTCATAAAGTGGTGTTTAAATATTTGTATAATACCTTATTTGTGTATATACATCCATGCAGTCTTCAGGCAATCATTTGATTATTTCAGAATGTCTATTCAGGTTTTTCAATGATTACATGAATTAAATTACGATGTTTTCTGCATTAGTGATTAAGGCTGTGGCTGTCGCCTTTAAGGCTCCATTTCACAGGACTAATTGCTTTTACCGTATGTGTAGAACCAGAAACAAATTCTCAGCATGGAAAGATGTTGAGATGAAAGAGAGTCTCGCTGGCTGTCTGGCTTTGACACAGCTGTGCAGTAGGCCAGATAAAAGGCATTTGTGCTGATAGCTTTGAGTGTTGGCTTTCTGAAGTGCCTCTTATTACCTCAGAGTAATGGAAAGAAATTACCTTTTAATGGTTCATACAGAGGGGTATAGATTTTCAATTGCTGTAATGAGCTTGTGTTTATGTCCTTATAAAGTAGTCCAAACCTGTGCTGTGATGTCTGCTTCCCAATGAATCACAACACTGTTATTCTTCCTTTACAATAATTTACTTTATTAAATTTAAAAAAAATGTACAACGTTTCAAGGCTTTCCTCAGGTATAGAAGCAGACTATCAATTTTTATACTTCTGTATCGCACGAAGAGCCCATTTGGTCTCAAAACATTGAAAAGTTGTATTGTTGTCCCTTTTTTTTGCAAGTCCTTGGAAAGTGGAAACCATTTATAAACTATTGGCCCTTTTGTTGTTACTGTAGTTGACATGTAAGCTACCTAAAAGTTTAAAAGTGGGAAAAAATACTGTGATTAAGCTCATTAAATGCATTCATTTTAAATTTCTTATAATTGCCACGGACTAGTTATCACAGACCAAGAAAAAGGGACAAACCTAGGGATCTGTAAACACATCAACATTGGAAATGCCCCGTGTTATCATTTCAAAGACTGCCTAGAAAACAAAATCTCAGAAGATATTTTTCTAATTATTCAATCTGTCCTCACATTTTTTCATATCCAGTCTGTCACAGAGTCATTTAGCCAATTATTAGAACAGTCTGTTCAATTTTATTTGCAAAATCATCAGAATTACTTTCATACGATACATACACAATTGCTGGTTCTGTCTTGGTATCCTCCAACACAAATTTAAACAAAGCATAAATAAATCTTCCCTTTCCTTTCACTCTTTTCTAGTGGCGGTCCAGACCAACCTGGTCCCTCCCAAAAAGGTCCAGTCTGGCATGGCGAAGTCCAGTCTAGTCCAGGCCAGTGTGGCCACTATGCAGAACCCTATGGGCTGTGACCCTAAGACCAACGGTCACTGTCCACTGCCACGCCTGTCCATCTCCTCCCGCTCTGCCAGCGTGGTGGCCAGCATGGACACCAGCTGCGACGGCTCAGTGGCGGCCCTCCACTCAGTGATGAAATGGAAGACGGTGCTGGCAGTGTTCATCGTGGTCGTTCTCTACCTGGTTTGTGGAGGTCTGGCATTTAATGCTCTGGAGCAGCCATTTGAGAGTAACCAGAAGACCAGCATCACTCTGGAGAAGGCTTCGTTCCTGGAGAGACACCCCTGTGTTACTCCTAATGAGCTGGAAGCACTCATCAAGGTGAGTGACTTTTTAGCTTTTGGAGTTTTAAACATTCACATTTAATAGACTTTTCTCCTTTCAACTGCACAGACAGCCCTGGAATAGTAAATTGCTTATGTTGAATCTATTCATCATCAACACATTAGTTTATAAGAGGATAGGAAGATAAGAAAACCTATGAAAATGATCTGTTAAATAATACTGAGTGGCATTCAATTTGATTGGTAGATAAGAGGAAGAAAGTCAGAGGACTGACCTTTATAGCAGCAGTTTGATAATGATTGCTATCAGGGGTAATTAGACACTCTCGGGGTAATTAATTCTGGTTTCATTAGCTTGTCACATGATCTTGAAAAGCTTGGATGCTACTTCCTTTCATGTCCAGATTGTCCTTCAACAAATGAAGCCCATTAAACCTGTTATGCAACAACACGTCACGTTTGTTTTTATTTATTATTATGTTATTTTTTATATTTTAACAATCTATCAAATGACAATGTGAAATGAAATTAATGTAAAAAAAAACGTTTGGGTCCTCTTTCCCTTTATTAGATAGGACCGCTTAAGATAGACAGGCAAGGGGGTAGAGACAGAGGGGATGACACGCAGCAAAGGGCCACAGGTGAGCTATCCAGGCACCCCGTTTTCAGTGAAACTCTAATATACTCACTGTATGCCACCTGCTTTAACACCAAACAGCAGACTGACAAAGTTAGGGACTAGCTACTGAAGATAGTGAAGCATTTAGCAGCTATAGAGCCTGATATTTCCTCTGGGAATGGGTAGAAAGGGTAAATATTGGACTTAAATTCATCAAGTTGCTCCTTACCTGCTTACAAATGCTGTGTTCACAACTTGTTTCCACTGCTTCCAACTGGTGAAAGAAGCAGTTGAGACCATTTTGTCACATTTACTGTTCTCAAGGTCAAGAATGAACTTCCATTCTCAAACTCGTGTATTGGTTGCTTGTTTTCACCTCATAAAGAAGTATTTACAGTGCCTCATCATAATTACAGATTGTGTGTCTAGTTTCTACTACAAAGACAGACATTGAGAATGACCTTTTGAGATGCTAATGTGTTATACCTAATTAAACTCTATTACTCAGCCTCTCTACCACAGACTTTTTTTAAAGGAGCCATTTTAATATAAAATTGTAGGGTAAACACAGGTTTTACCAATGATACTAATCAAGGTTCCTTTCCATACAGGTCAAACAGAGTCAGTGCTAATGTGCATGTTGGCTCACCATAAAGGCTCTGCTACACTAAATGGAACAGAACCTTAATAAATGCTCTTATAATGCTAATTTACAAACATCTTTAGCATCAATTTTAATAGGTTTCTTCCTGCTGTGCTGAGTCAATAAATTGATTATTTAATGACTAGCACGATCAAAAGATACACCCCCTACTCTCTGCCCCCTGGTTGTTGACAGTCGATGGGTAAATGTCATGTGCAGACTTAGAGGCAGGTCCATCCTTTAGCAGGAAGCACAATAATACCTTCAGGGTCACCACGGAGATACCCATTATTCTCAGTGACACTGAGAAACTAATGTACAGCGCATGCTTGCACATTCAGCTTTATGTTGCATAACAGTACATTAAAATAATCTCTGAGAAAAGGGCAAATAACTGTCTATGTCCCGAGATGTTTATCCTCATAAAAAATAAGTCCTGTGACCTTTATTTTGTATGTACACAATCGTAATAGTAGTAAACAAGACCTACCGTTTTTGTTACAATAGCATAGTAGGTTGTTTTGAGAAATAGATTGAATAGCTAAGTTGTATCTGAATACCCTCAACAATAAATGTATTAGGTCGGTATGAAATTCCAGGGCAAGGCTTTAACAACACCCACATGTTTTTAAATAAGGAAAGTAGCTCACGGCTATAACAGCACAGTCGTCTTTACTGTGAGAAATGTTTTTCTATCTATACATAGTGTGATATCTT